ATATATATATATATATATATATATATATATATATATATATATATATATATATATATATATATATATATATATAAGTATGTTATTAATATACAAATATATAACAAAATTTATGCAATCTGCACTTATTTTATCTGCAAATAAAAGTAAAAAAATTGCCACCTGGTGGTTCAAAGAGCAAATTTGTTAATATGAACTTTTTAGATACAAACACGCACATTCACAATATTCAACTTACTTAAAAAAAAGATAATAATTTATGCAATATGCCGGGGATTTGATGCTTCGCAAAAGTTACAGACACCTTTACCAACATTAAAATGCTTTTTTGATGCAAAATTAATTTATAAAGTTATTCCTTACGCCGATTAAAAAAAGTTGAGTAGGCCTAGCCCACTATAATAAAAAAAACATTCTCTAATTGTAGAACTAAATACACTGATATGCATTGAAATACATGATGAATACTCTTCTTGACACAAGAGTGTAAAGCCTGCAGCTCACAACAAATGTGGAAAGTTCTTGCGTATCGTAATTAACAATCCGTTTACTGCTAATTTGATGTAATTTTGCTCACATGGATAATTGAATATTAATCAGATGATGTCATTACGCTGCTGTGCCGTCAGCCAATCGTTGCATTGCTGATCATGATTTGGAGGATCGATAGATCTTTCCTTCTCAACACACGCAGCGATCTCAGATCAGCTTTTCCAGACTATTTAATCTGATTCGCAAACTTGTTTGAAGAACCAAATTAACCAGAGATCAGTTATCAAGATTAAAAGATGCAGGAACTGCCAAATCATCTTAGATCATTTAAGCGAGGTACGAAGAATGGATCCTGAACTGAACTAATCTAAACTGAACTGAACTTAAACCCTGAAAACCGAACTACACAGTTTTAGTTCACTATAATCTTATGTGAAGCTGCTTTGACACAATCTGCATTGTAATTAAGATGAATTGAATTAAATTTAAAATAAGAAATCTGTTATTAAATTCTTGTCACACAACCAGCGATCGCTTTCCAGAGATCGCTGGTTCTCACACGAACTCTCAAAACTACATTTACGCATTTCCCAGGACTATATTTTCATACATGCACTGCTCCCAAACACGCATGCCTGTTCACTCATCTATCCTGATTGCAATCACCAGCTGAACCTTGTCACAGACTGATATCACTCCATTCATAAGCCACTCTTTCACCCTTCCAGATGGCCGAGTCTTGTTTGCATTTTGTGACATTACAACGCGTTTCCCTGTCTTGTTTCTCCGTGTCTCGATCCTAGCCTTGTATCCTTGTTATCCTGTTTAGCCGCCTGCCTTTCGATCTTTAGCCTGTTTAACGTTTATGATTCTGGACTGCCTTAATATACCCGTTTGCACCTGATGACCACTGCTTGCCTGACATTGAATAAACCTGCATATTGGATCTTACCTTCTGTTGTGAGTGTCACTCCCCCCAGTCGTTACAATTCTCACCTTTATAGTCCTTTATAGAGTCCTTTGTTTGTCTTCAGAGCACAAATTACATTAATTGCTGGAGATCCAGAACTCAATTATTAGTACTATGATCATGGCAAAGATAAAAATAATTAGTTTTTAGAAATTAAAATGATTGTCTCCGTTAAACAACACTTGTGAGATATTTTTTAAATAATTAGAATTTGACAGGAGGGCTAATCATTTTGACTGTAAATGTATACAGTTGAAGTCAGAAGTATTAGTCCCCATGTATATTTTATTCCCAAAATTATTTTTGATGGAAAGAAGATTTCTTCAACACATTTCTAAACATAATAGTTTTAATAATTCATTTCTAATATCTGATTTATTTTATCTTTGCCATGATGACAGTACATAATGTTTGACTAGATATTTTTCTAGACACTTCTATACAGCTTAAAGTGACATTAACAGGCTTAACTAGGTTAATTAGGTTAAAGTTAGGGTAATTAGGCAAGACATTGTATAAAAGTAGTTTGTTCTGTAGACAATCGAAAACAAATATAGCTTAAGGGGGCTAATAATATTGACCTTAAAAAATTTTAAAACTGCTTTTATTCTATCCGATATAAAACAAATAAGACGTTCCACAGAAGAAAAAATATTAAAGGAAATAGGGGGGGGGGGGTAATTTTGACTTCAACTGTAAATATTCAATATATATAATACAATATTGAATATTCAACTGTAAATATTCAATATATATAATACAATATTGAATATTCAACTGTAAATATTCAATATATATAATACAATATTTTTAGTATTGATCCACATCTGTAGTGGTCACTTTATTTTGAGGTGTCTTTGTTACAGTCTAACTACTCATTTATATTGATTAATTACATATAGCCCCTATATGGTAAGGGTTAGAATGCAGCTTATAGGTATAGTGTTGCACTGTAAATAAAATCCATAAATAAGCAGTTTCCTATATTTTGTGATTCATGTTTTTATTTTTATATATTTTTTTCAGTTTATTTCTGCTGTTGAGTTTTATTATGGAATCTTGATCTTTTTTCCAACAACTTTCAACCTTGAAAAGTTACAAAAAAGTGACTTTAATGGACATTTGTAATAGTTTAAAGTGATGTTTTGTCTGGTGTTATATATTACGCTACAAAAACCTTGTAATAAACTACCAGGGGCCTGTTTCAGAAAGGAGGTTAAGTGAAAACTCAAAGTATTTTAACCCTGAAATGAGAGAAACTCTGGGTTTTTCGTTTCAAAATGGCAGGTTTGTTAAACTCGAGAAAGCAGGGTAAGTCAAGCCTGTTTCTGAAAGAAAGGTTACTTTAACTCAGAGTCAGTTACTGTGGTAACTTACTATGTGAACCTAACCTGGTCAGGAGCAGGTTTTATTCTCTAAACTCTGAGTTTCTGTCGGTCTCCTCCCCATTTTAAAGACGAAGCGGTATTTCTCGCCTTAGCCTTGCGTTTCCACCCACCTATTTTAATGCTCATTTTGGATATGTGCATAAAAACGATTGATGGAAACGTCATGATGGACTTAACTTTTGAAAATATGCATAAGGACACGCGCATAATTGAGCAGGATAAACTTTTATTCGATAGAAAATATGCACATAAACTACGATGGAAACACATTTACTGAACAAATTACAGTATGTACATTAAAAAAGGTCTTCATATGATGATGAAAATGTGTTTAAATGGACAAACCAGCAGGCTGAGCACACTGTAACACGTCTTAAATGTTGTTTTAGTCATTTTAAAATGCCTTAACTGTTTCAGTATTAGTGTATTTAATTAGACTACCTCCGAGCATCTGGAGCTTGTCAAGAGTCTCCGTGTCTCATGGCTTCAAACGTGTTCATTGTCTTCTGAGGCGCAAGTACATTTATTAAATAAATAATTGACGAAGCTTCTTCTACCACAGTAAATTCTGTTTTTACTGTCGATATTTGGCGCCAGTTAATCAGGAAGTGACGATTTTGTTGTCTTTGACTCGTTGGATGGAAACGCTGCTTTATTCGCATCTTTTATATTCCAGTTTTGCACATAAATTTATGTAATATATTTGGATGGAAACATAGATATTGCCTACCTTTTAGTCACAAACACAACAATAAATAATTAGCTTAAATTCATTGACCTTCGACATGTACTGTAACTAGATTAATGGGATTATTGTTCTTTTTAAGAATTATTTTTAGTACCGCTTACCTTCTAAATGTTATATCAACCTCTATCATTTGATCAAGAAAAAAGGCAGACACACAATTGCTATGGTCACTCGTAATATCTGCGCTCCATTGAAAATGCCTTTTATAGTCACGGTGTGCGCGCTTAACTCTGAATTGGTCTACTCAAAGTTAATTGACCCAACTCAGATCAGCTGTTCTGAAACCGAAAACTCAGAGTTTTTTATCTCTCGGTAAATCAACTCAGAGTTCAAGTTTAAACTCCGAGTTGTTTGAACCTCCTTACTGAAACAGGCCCCAGCACATTTTCTCTTATTCTTACAGACTTATTTCTCTCTATGTTATTTATTATACAGTGATATATAATAAACAATAATTATACACATAATTGAGTACACCCGCTTTTGAAAATGAATATTTTTCTCAATTTCTCAGTGAATATAGGCAATGTATTTTGGTGCATTTAAGCAAAACAGATTTATTAACCAGATATATTTATTCAAATAATATTTTAGTCACCAAACATATTTAGAAATTGAAAGATAGTACAATAAAATTCAAGCAAAATATTAAAAAAAAAAAAAAAAAAAGTACAACATACAAAATAACCTTCTTGGTTTTTCCTCTGTTTAAAATTTGTATTTAATATTTTTCTAAAACATATAAATTTGGCTGTACTAGTTTTTGAACTGTTATCGTAAGGTATTTTGTTAGATGAGCTCCAGATCTGGCTTTAGTACTGACTAATTTATTATATATATGGACAAATATAATATTTTATAGCTTCCTATTAAAAATATCAATTTAAAAGAGAGATTTATGAGGCGTGAACTCATATATGTTGAGCACTGTACATTATATTATTTCAAACTCCTAAAACAACAATAAAAGTCACTTTGTGAAACTGTAAAGTTGAATTTTTAACATTAAAAGTCGACAGAGCATCAGAGGACCAACATCCCATAATGCAATTCACAACTGTAAATAAAAAGAAAACACAGAAGATATGTAAAGTTGAATTTTTAACATCAAAAGTCGACAGAGCATCAGAGGACCAACATCCCATAATGCAATTTACAACCGTAAATAAAGAGAAAACAAAAAATATGGAATCTGTTCATTAACAGATATTGTTTACAGTGTTAACAGTTTCATCAGTGTTGTCTCCTCATGTCCTGATGCTGGTGTTTGTGTTGTTCAGGCTCAGTTGAAGCGCAGGAGTGCCGCTCTAGATTCAGATGCTCAAGCAGAAGCTGCTACCCCTCCGTCTGTTCCCTCTCGCTCTCCCCGAACACCCAGCAAGACCCTCGGCCCCCGAGTGCTGCCCCCTGCTGACGCAAAGGATGCTAGGTAAGTGGACCAGAATCTAGAATGCATGTCTGCGTCTGAAATCGCCTACTACACAGGTACTGCATTTGAATATAAATGTACTACTCAGCCAGTAGAAAAGTGCGTTCTGTACAGTATGAATGTCAGTAGTGTGAATTGAACTCATGTACCACATCCGCCATTTTCTCAGCATCACGTGACCTACCCACATCAGTTGGGTAAAGTCCAGAAACAGCTGAAGTCAGAATTATTAGCCCCCCTGAATTGTTATTAGCCTCACTGTTTATTATATAATATAATAATTTCTGTTTATTCATAATAAACATAATGTTCATAATAAACCTAATGTTTATTATATAATAGCCTCACTGTTTATTTTTTCCCAAATTTCTGTTTAACGGAGAGAAGATTTCTTCTGCACATTTCTAAACATAATAGTTTTAATAACTCATTTTTAATAACCGATTTATTTTATCTTTACATAATTACACAATTGGTAATATATATATATTATAATATATATATATATATATATATATATATATATATATATATATATATATATATATATATATATATATATATATATATATATATATATATATA